GTGTAACTTCAGCAGCGTCCTCCTGAAAAGCGGCAACAACATTGAGAGTAACATCCTCCTCTCTGCCCCTTAACGCTCTCTGGTTGCTATGGTAATGCGCAGACCATAGATCTGGTGTCCTATACACAGAATCCAGATTTAAGGCACTGGTTTGCCATTGGTTTAATTTTCCCAACCTGGATGCTATACACATGTTTTAAACCATCTGTGGTTAGATATTACGTAATTTGTCCATTTTCTGATATCTATGTTATCTATAGGTAACATTAACCAGTTTTGACTTAAAAGTCTGGAAGTCTGTTTGGCCATATTGAAATTTAACCATGAGTGAAAAACTGCAGTCAACGTAGGTGGAGTATTTGCTTAATCGAGGCATTGTTTGGTTTTTTTAGGATCAATTTTGATTGATCTCAGTTGGTCTTTTTAAATTGTACCTAGTGCTAGCGTGCCTGCTAGCGCAGACGCAAGATACCTCATACAGCCAAATAAAGACCTGAGTAGGATAAGTCATGCAAAAGCCATTGCAAACCCAGAGAAACAGAATAATAACTGCAATTCACGTAACGGCTGCAGGTGTCACCAATGAATTTCTGAGGTTACGTGATCCTTTAATTTCTCTCACTTCTCTTATGCAAGGCGTACTGCATTTGGTAGAGCGGCAGAGTCGTCAATGGGAGCCAGAGCGAGGCATCAGCATAAATCAGCGGCAAGGTGCACTCTAAGCTCTCCCCACATCCTTGACTGTTGCTGACTTTCAGGCATTCATAATATATGAAATCTGTCTTTTATAATTCAACAGAAAAAGGAAACACGCCTTGATAGTGATTTACAGAAGACAGAGCTGCAACAGAGTTATTTAAAATTCCATTATGTGACGTGTTTTTGGCTAAAAAGGAGAATGAACATATAGATACAATAACAGGATTTTCTTCTCGCTGTTATTCTCATTGACATTAATCAATGTTTTTTTTAAAAGTATTCAATCAAACACTAGCCTGCAGGGGCTGAGCAAGTCAATTAATCCATGTTTCTATGGCAACTACTTGGATAATTGGAGAAAAAACCCCTGATATGGTAGCAGACTGTTCTGTTGACACTGCATTTCAAAGGATTTTACAGACTGCTAACTTGTAGAAGAAGGACAATTTAATGGATTGAACCTCTGAGCAAAAACTATAAACTACACACAAAGAAGAAGCAGCTCTGTCTTCGAGACTTTATGAAAAATGATTTTAGCTGCAGTATTTCTCACACAGGGTATTGGAAGGATTTGGGCACGATTTTATTAGATTTTCTTCTTTTTTTTGACCTGTGTAGTTCTTTCCCCCCCACGGGTATTTAATAACAGCGCAGACGAATGATCAATGTATTCTGCATGTTCATATGAGGTTACAGTGAATCGTACTCTCTCTTAGGCGGTGAGTAGAAGGTGTGAGCGAATTTCCAGCATGCTCTGACCCACGGGGTTTACCTCGGCGTCTCGGAATATTCTGCTTCTGGTGAAGCCGAAGAAATGCAGTCGTAGCTGCGAGAACTGCACTTGTATGCGTCGTGTGAAAATTCCTGAACTACAGAGTACATGCAAATCTATATGGAAAACCTTTATATGAAAAACCTTTTGAAATATGAGGCGTGAACTTTTCTCCCTCAGGGCAATATACTGAAAATCAATAACTCTATAAATGTAAAAGAAGCTGCTCAACGAGGAAGGTCAAAACAGAACATGTAACAATAGCACAAATGAGCCCAGGAACCCCTGTGAAAAGGAGGTCACAGTGAGGGTATAGTTCACTGAATATGTCAGCAAATCCTCCGGGAGCCTGACGAGGTGAGAACACTATCCCCTGTGGAAATGGGACAGAAAAGCTGCGGTGTGCACAGCATAAAGCCGCCGCAGAATGCACCGCACTTTATACCCAGCTCACATTTATTTTTAATGAAGTATAATAAGTCACAGCACCGGAGCAGAAATGCAATCCCCAACCCAGATGATCCAACAACACGAAGACTATTTTTTTCACGCAGTATATCCTTCTGCTGGTACTGGGGGGCACAGCGAGGCAGTGAGCCGAATGATTTCAACATCTCTGCAAACAGACATAGCAGCTGAGGTGTCTCTGTCTAGTAATGACAGCACAGAGAGAGAGGGGGGAAAAACCTGCTTTTTGTGGGACTTATCAGAAGATGGAGATTGGAGGATGCTTGGATGCTTCATAAAACGTGCCCCTTTTCTGTGTCGGCCATTTTTTATGAATGAAAATTAAACACTTGTGGCTATTTTATTTTAAGGAAAATAAAACAGGTATCCAGCAGCAGTAGGTTGGTATTCTGTAGGTGCTACTATAGGTAAAGGCTTTGCACTGTCACTCAGGAGTAATGTTAAAGGTAAGTGGAACAGTGTGGGCTCCTGTCCACTGCAGCTGCTGTATGTGTTTCTCATTCCAGAGCTTCGTCTCCATGATGAAGCAGCCTGGTTTCATTCCTGGGGCACTGATACATGCTGTTTAACCAAAGCCGCTGTCATGTCTTACTTTACAGACTGATATTAATTGTGTTTTAATTGTTGCACAGCAGTTTGTGACTTTTAAGTCTGTGAAAAGCGCTGCTTATAGAAACTGATCCATCACTCCCAAGTCGTCACTGGTCAATGTTTAGAGGAGCTGTTACAATTTTTTCCCTCCAACTGTCTTTATTGGGATTTTTAGGTACAGTAATGAAATGAAAAAAAGGGGATGTCATCAGCATTACTGCAAATAGTCTCTGGTGAGTTGAAATTAAATTACAGGCTGTCATATTGTATAAAATTAATTCCCATTTTCTCTCAGTGTGCATTTGATCTTTTTCTAATATTAATATTTCATCAACAAGGTGGTTTCTTTTGTTTCCAGTCAGCAAAATGAGTCTTTGTGTGAGCAATAACACAAAACAAACCAATGTGTGATTGATTGTTGGTTATTCGATGATTCCAGGATGGCTGCTTTCACCCCAAATAGAGCTATTCCAGAACTGAATCCAGAAACTGAATCTGTTCTACAGAAAGTCTGAAACATCTTACGCAAAAAGTTTATAATATTTGGGCAGTTGAAGAATGTATGAGGCAGACAGATTGATGTTTGTCCACAGAATGGGTCGGAGGACTCTTATTCAGTAAGATTTAGGATATTGCAAATTTCTTAAAACACCAGGATATATAAGAAGTATATTAAAAGAGCAAGAAAATGTTAAGTAACTATTATTGTCACAACTTTAATATATCCAGTCAACACTTCACCTGTCAAATTCCTGGGTGATCTGGATGCAAAAATCTGAAAAATGATGCTTAAATAAATTTAAGCATCAAATAAATTTTCCGTAATTTCATCTATTCAAGTAGCTTTTAGTGGCGAAACCTACTGTAACAAGGGACTGGCAAAAAAGCATCAGCAAGCTTTTATAGGCAAAAATTTCTGTACAGAGGAGCAAAACATATTTGTACCTTATAATTAAGCCTATTAAGTATTAATTAGCTTATCAACATTTCCATTCAGTATATAATTAAAATCTTTGTGACTACTCTGCAATAATACTGTGTTTTTATTTAATTGATGAAGCTATAAAACTAAAATTTATTGTTTTTCTATTGTTTACTTAATTCAGTCACTAACATAGCACTGAAGTGGGAGCAAAAAATGCCTATTAGCTTGAACAGGCTTACTTTTAAACTGAGTAGTTCTAAAGCTCTGCATACCACTTTGAACATTGCTGGTATTTGTGAAAATTATCAGCTTAAATGTAGCTTACTTTGATCATAAATAAAACATAAAGCAGATGAACAGTTTTAAAATTAGCAGAAGTAAAAAACAAAGCAGTAGAGCGACAGATCAGGCATACTATGAAAACAGTAATGCTTTTGGTGAAAGCAAACAAATCTGATCATGCACTAATACATTTTTCTTTTTTTGTATTTGAAATCTTTACAAAAACGAGCCATTTATGTGTCTGCATCCATGCTAACCACCTCCAGTACTGAGGTTCAGCAAGATTCAGGATGTGGAGCTCGATGCACATATTAAAGCCTTTTTCTTTGATTCAAACGTTTTTAGATTTGGTGGATCTAACTTACAGCAATGATACATGAAATTTTCATTCCCATATTGATAGCTGCAGGGAGCCACTGGAGGCGGGTGAAAGAGCAGCATTCAGCTTCAGTAAGATTTGGGCAATACTCAGTGTAAACAAGGTAGACTTAGATTCCTCAGATAAAGTTAAATGCTTTGAGTCCTCCTTGAGACGCCACCGTCACCTGTAGTTTGCATGAAAGATGCAGACTTGTCTGCCAGCACTTGTCACTTGTCATCCTTCAAAGTAAAAGTTGTGACTTACTTCTGCTACCTTTACATTTTATAAGCTGCAACTTTTGAAGGCAAACAATCTGCACTTCCAGTTTATGTCAAAATTTTCACAGTTTCCCTGCAGCTTAGGAAATAGTTGGTGTTTGCGGAAAAGTTGGACTTTGCAACCAACTCTACTAGGAGCAAGCGACCTCCAATAACCACGCTTTTCACTAGCCACCGGTGAGTCACTGACCATTCTCTACGTGTGCATAACTGGGGTTTTAATGACTGATTTCAAATCAAGCCCCAGCAAAGTCCAGCAATCATTTTCCTCTCATGACCAAATGGTTGTCCACCATCTCTAGGCCCGTGTGACTCGGGCCTCAGTCTAACCAGGTAGTTTTGAGTGATTTAGAGGTTTAGACATGATCAACCAAAACAATAAAAGAACTGAAAACACTGCACAAAATACAAAGGTTCCAGGCTGACAAAAGATGAGTACAGGAAGACTACTCATGTTTCCTTTTACTATTCAAGCAGTCAGCCAGCTATCTACATATCTCATTATTGCCATCGTGTTGTTGGGGAACAATCCCTTTCTCTCTATAACTACAGAGGTGACCAATATGGGATGGAAAAACCTGCAAAAGCAAAAGTGGTGAATCGTAAAGGCTGAACAGGAAATACCTTTAACTATGATGCTTCCTGTGCTGCTTGCCACACCAAACTGGTTTCTTGCCACACACGTGTAGAGGCCTGCATCAGATTTGGTCACATTCCATATCCGCAGACTACCGTTGTCCAGAATGGAGATTCTGTGGTTACAAAAAAAAAGGAAATAATTTATGTGACTGTCAAAGCAACAGATTTTTGTAAGAAGAACAAATGTTGCTGTGCATGCATCGTGAAATTTTAACTACGTGGCATGGCTGACATAGCACAAAAGATAAGTGACGAATACGCAGAAAAGAAAATTTCTCACTGTCTCTAATTAGGTTCTGCTTCTTTGCAGATGACAACAATGAGAAATAGGAGTGTATTTTCAGGGCTGATTAATTCAACACATGACTTGGAGATATCTAGGACAATAGTGGCTCCGTGCCCTTTACACAACAGCCACAAGTGCTTCAAAAAAGGTCAAAAGGCCTTAACAAAAGTTGACATTTTGTAAATAACGAGGAAAAATGGAAATTGTGCCCTTGAAAGCAAAGTGTTGGGGGAAATCAAGGGTGGACCACCTCATCAAAGCGCACTGAATTTTAATTATCTGAAACGCTCTGCTGATTCGGCAAACTGTATAATGGCGTCAGCCTGATTGTGAGAGGGGAACATGATGTGTGGCAGCTAAACTGCCCCGTTCACCTGTGAAAACAGTCAAAGGAGTCAAAGCGAATAGAGGCCTGCAGTGAGGGTGAAGACCCTCTGCTAGTCCATGCGAACACCTAAATCTGCAATAACCACTTACTCTACATTAAAGAAACCAAACAAATGCTAGCTGCTATAACCGGTGTCCTTTTCAGTGGCAACAGAATCTGATAGACCCACAGGACGCCACCTTCTCAAAGGCAAGTCATCAGGCAGCAATTAGCTGGTGAAGAGTGTGTAGCAATTAGGAGCTAAAAAGCAGGTTTTATCAGGACGAAGAGTATAACAGAGATAAAAGGCAGGTAAATATCAGTTAGTCATTAACTTCCAAACAGGAAGTAACATATAAAAACAGAAATGAAGAAGTGTGAGCGAGCCACTTCAGGGGAGGCTCATAAAGCTGTGAATGCAACATTAGCATATTGTTCCCTGAAGATTTACATGGCATTTAATCAGAGTCATCTTTCAGGGTCATGAAATGCAAAACTGAGGAGTGGATGTCAGATTAGTAAACTTCAAAGCTTTTTTCAGTTTGTCCTTATGAACCATCGTCACAATATCAGAATTACAGTAAGAGCTCTGCTTTCAAAAGTTGTTTTTAAAATGTTCTTTCGAATAAACAACATCTGGAGTTATATTTTTGGTCACTTGGTGAATATGTGTAAAAGTCTTGAGCCACATGTCATTTCTTTGTAAAACTTTATTGAAACATGCAAACAAAAATAGAAATACGGTGTAACGAGCAAAAACAGAGTTTTAATGAGGTTAAAAGTCATTGTTTTGTATGGAACTCAAACAAGCTTTCATGTAATAGGTTTAAGCAGACTCTTCAGGAATAGTTCTCCAGTCTTCTTGATGGACATCCAAAACTCTTCTTTGGATGCTCGCTGCCTTTTCGTCCCTTCTCCGTCAGGATAATCCCACGCTGTTAGTAATGTTGAGCTCAATAATGTTCCATTGAGTTCCACTGTAATCCTGATGGGTCATGAGTAGATAGTAAATGGATTAAATAAAGGTGCCTCACTTAGGTCCTGTGTCAGGTCTTTGCTGGATTTTCTTCTATTTATTAAGGACATTGGATATTTTTAGGTGGTCTGCCACTTCTTATTTTCTCCACTACTTGTCTAGTTTCCTCAGATTTTAACAGCACACAACATGCTGACATATCATTCCTCTGAAAATGATCAGGTACAAAGACTGAACTGAAAATAAGTGAAAAAGCAGCCAATGTCAGAAAGCCTGGAGAACTATTTCCCAATAACACTGAAATCTGACTTGTGGGAACCAAAAGTAATGAGTGTGCACAAAATCTTCCTTTATCTGTGTTTCTCTATCTGACTCTTAGAAACACGTGTGTCTACAGCTGTTAAATGAAAGGCTCTGGGCACTTACTGTGCACAATTATTTAAATGGACTTTAATTTTAATGGTCACCAGGATAAAAACGCTACATGTATAGCGTCTCCAGTCAAATGCGACTGACTCTGACCCAACATAAGGTTTTAAAAAGCTTTTTTCCCTTTTATCCCCCACAGAGAGAATTCAACTCAGGAGTCTTTGAGTGCTATCTCTCTCTCTGTAATATCTCTGGATAATGTGCCTCCGTGTTCACCAGCTCATTTTTTGCTTTATCTTGCTGCTGTTAGAGCTGGGCAGGTAGTGTACTGTACAAAAGCATGGACATATTTTCTTGAAAACAGACGCCTGTTGGCTGAAAAATGCACTGTGGATATGATGATATGATGAGAGACAATCTGAAAAGTGAGGCTCTGGGCCAGAAAAAAACCATACTGAGCTGAAAGAGAGTCCAATTAAAAGTATGGCGATTTTAAGATTTCCAGAAAATCCTGTTTAAAATTAGTTTTCTGTTTTTGTAATCATGCTAGAAAGTAAAAGTTATTGAAATGTAATATCTGAATCAGCTGGGCTGTTCCTCTGACCCTTAATAGCTGCTGCTCTATAAAGCACCAATTAAAACTATCTGTCAGCACTGTATCCAAATACCTACTACTGCAGTAATTAACAGTCCAACCAGGTTTAAAAACCTATTCGAAACAGCTATTTGACTGTTACAAATATTTGCTGACGCAGTCCGAGTTCATCAGCTTTCATCACCGTTACGTGAGAACGGTTGTTTGCGTTTAACTGGGAGCATTTAGCTGAAATGTGGCTGATACAGTGTGGCACAATGTCTTTCCCCCTCCACCCCACCTCTTTGTTGGGTTTTTCTTTTCAAGTGGTGGATGCGATAAGAAAGTGCAGAGGTAGTTAGTGTAAGTGAATCTACTTCTAAAACCACATGGTGCTGCTGAGTGGATACTTCTGGGTTTATATCAGGCTGAGAGAAAAGTGCTGAATGCAGAGTAGCCAACAATGACCATCAGTTACACGGGGGCATATCGCAGTGTGGGCTGGCGCACAGTTAATGGCGTCAAACCTGCAGGCTGATATTTATGAGGAAAGCAGCCCATTAAATGGCACTGCGGCCCTACAAGTGGCCGTAACACGGAGCCGAGTAAGCACAATTAAAACAACTGCTGTACATTAATTGAATTGCATTGCATTGCCGCTCCCGTGTTTATAGCCGAGCTGCTGTGATGACTCGTGGTATTTAAAGGAAATTTAAGGGTGCGCATCAACTAAGCACGAGCGCAAACACACGCAAAGGCATGCTGCTTTAACTAGAACAAGCTCTGACCCAGATCAAGTCTACCTGCAGCACGGTGCTCACAGTAATTCCTCAACATAACTAAATACCCACGTTTGTGCGCGGTGCTCTGTATATCCCCCATCCCATTACCCTCAGGGACGAAAAAGCCATCATGTGTTGGCGCGTCTTGTAAGAGCGTGAACAAGTGGTGCAAGCCCAAAGGAGAGAGAGCCAAGACTATTCTCAGCCATTCACCGTATCGTGTACTTTTCTCTGTAGATTCATGTAAAGACCGGGGAGGAACTTTCCTTTCACTGACATCACAGAGAAAAGGAGCAGACTGGATGTCTGCATAAGTGTTCGTCATTTCAGTCTGAAGCTAATGGAAGAAAAGATGAGGTCAAATACAGTAGAAGTCAGCCGAGGCGCAGGAGTGCTGAATAAGAGATGGAGGCACACTATTAACACATTTCTGTTTTGCTCCCTGTCTTCTCTCTCCTCCGCTGCAGCCCAGACAACATGTCTGCGCGATGAGCCCATTATGCAAGGAGACATTTTCCACCCTGGTCCCGGGAGAATCCAGAGGATGGGAGGTATCAATAATTCACAGGTGAGATGAACACAAGTGCCACTCCTTTCATCCCTGCCTCACACGGTTTAATGGACACGGCTGTAATTCTCTCCAAAAGGAGGCGATTATTTTGAACACGGCGAGATGTCCGAACGCACTCGTGTAATCCCAAAAAACACAGGTGTGTATTTTTTGGGGGGGAGATCAAGCCTCAGAGGACAGGGGCTGCACAGCGTTGATCCTCCCTGCTCTCCACCAAGATGAAAGAGACAAATAACATCAGTCACAGAGCAGCTATCACGAGGCGCTGTGAAGTGGAAATCGCAGGAGAAGAGCCTGGTCCAAATTGAAAGCCTTATGTTTTGTGTTTGTTGTATTTGTGATTTCCTTACGTTCTCTCTGAGACGATGTTAACAGATGCACACTTTGCCTTTTTGCAAGCTTCCTTACCATAAAAAAACAAACACTTGAAAGCCTTGTTTTGATGTTTCATTCAGACATATTTTGTCTTTGATCTGTTTGATAAATTCTGGATGTCGAGAGGAAACTGTCACAATCCAAATAATGAATCTGTAATAAAAAAAAAGGGAAGGAAATTGCGTGTTGAGTGGAACAGTTTTGAACCAAGCCTGGAACGAGTTTGTAACGGTGGGCGCCTCAAACGGAGGAATCATATTAAGTTGCCCTCTACATAAACACGCTAAGTCGCCGTCGAAGAAGAGGAGCGCACTCATCAGAATTCAACATGCAAACAATATGCGTAATCACAGATCAGATCTGATTCAAGAGTTCCAAACAGGAACGTTCTTGAATGCTCGGTGATTCCGAGATGCTGCGGCTGATTGGCGGTGCGGCTGCAGGACGGAGGCGTGCCTCTCTGCTTAATTAACAGGGTAAATAAAGCCGGCTTGTGAAAATAGGGGTTAAGATTCTATCAGTGGAATTACTCAGCCATGAGACCACAGGAAGAGAGAGATCGTCGCGAGCTTAGGGTGATTTCACCAAATAATTAGTCTCAGCTAAAGCCTTTTGTACACAAAGATTACTGCCTGAGAGCACAAACAACGTGCTCAACTCACTACCTCGCCAGCCATTCACTTCCAAATACCAGTTAACTCAATGTGGAAAGTGTGGAGGGGTAAAAAAACAGTACTGCGGGGGATGTGTTTGATATTGTGTTTGCCTTCCGTGGTAAACTCACAGATAAGGTGAGGTGTTCTCGTGTTACTATTTCCGACCTGCGCCGGCCATCGTCGACCTACCTGCAGGAAGCGTTTCTAATCATAATTATATCAAAGCGTCAGCATCACTAACAGCGCTGGAGGCCAGAAGCTGTAATGTGGTGAGGGTGCCAAGAAGGAGGCGAGGTCACCGTATCCTCTGAGCTGGGATAAGGGGGTGGGACCTAACTTCAGGTGTTGATCTATGCTCTCTACTGCTTTAAAAACCCTGAAGTGCGGGCCGGGGGAGGGGCCGTCTGAGATAAATTGAAAGGCTGTCTCTCTTGAGCTTCCCCACAGTGTGCTGTGCTGGAGAGAAATGGCCTTGTCAGTGGCATAAATCAAGCCCAGCTGTGGAGCGCAGACCCTGGATGCTAAAACTCACCGAATGCGGTGCGACTGCAGAAAAAAACCCTTCTCAGATGCTTCATGCAGCATCGTGACTAAACAAACTTGCCTTCTATTTTCTCGTGACGCTGCATGCATCAAGGTTAACGGTCAATTAGAGATAAAGCAGGTATGCGCTTTAAAAAAAACAAAAAAACATTTTCCAGTCAAAGCTATTGGCAGACACTGGTGAGACAGGGACACCTGGGCATTTAGTTTTGACAATTCTCCGATATAGGTGTAATTGATATTGATTTTTTCCCCTAGTCAGACCTGTACCACTGACTCTCACCTTGTCGCATGGATCATTAGCTGCAGCAAATGATCAAAGCATTAGCAGATGGACAGAAGATGATTAACTTTGTGGTGGGCACAGCTTTAAAATGTGAAGCTGTGCCCACATAAATAGCATCAACAAAAGTGCCAAACACAGTGTCAGACAAACTTTGATGAAATAGCAGCAGTTTGTCTATGACTACTCAACCTCGACATTTGTTTTTCTATCTTTTCTTTAGCTACATAAGCCATAGGCCCGTGGCAACTGACTGAGTAAGAGCCCATTAGAAGCTGTTGGATGAATATCAGTGAAATAGTGATATCCAGTAAATACAATACACCAGTACCAGTTGATGTTTAGGTTAAAAAAGTCTATATCCAAAACAGGCTGGTGTAGAAGAACCAAAAATAAATCACTGCTTTAGTTTCAATGCAGCGACAACTGTCGATCAATCAAGATGATTGCTCAGGTCACCTGGTGGGATGCAACTTGTCTCCAAGCAGTTTCCGTGTGACTCAGACCGACTACAACCACTTACAGACAGATTGGTGAAGGTCTGAAAATAACTGCAGTCAAATTTCTAAATGCAGAAAAATTACCAACATGTTCGAATCAGTGTGAGTGAAGTCTGCACTGATGAGTGAAGCTCATTTGCAATACATGCCTTTGCAGTAGGGGGCCAGACGTACAGTGGGGCAAAAAAGTATTTAGTCAGCCACCGATTGTGCAAGTTCCCCCACTTAAAATGATGACAGAGGTCAGTAATTTGCACCAGAGGTACACTTCAACTGTGAGAGACAGAATGTGAAAAAAAAATCCATGAATCCACATGGTAGGATTTGTAAAGAATTTATTCATAAATCAGGGTGGAAAATAAGTATTTGGTCAATAACAAACATACAACTCAATACTTTGTAACATAACCTTTGTTGGCAATAACAGAGGTCAAACGTCTACTATAGGTCTTTACCAGGTTTGCACACACAGTAGCTGGTATTTTGGCCCATTCCTCCATGCAGATCTTCTCGAGAGCAGTGATGTTTTGGGGCTGTCGCCGAGCAACACGGACTTTCAACTCCCGCCACAGATTTTCTATGGGGTTGAGGTCTGGAGACTGGCTAGGCCACTCCAGGACTTTCAAATGCTTCTTACGGAGCCACTCCTTTGTTGCCCGGGCGGTGTGTTTTGGATCATTGTCATGTTGGAAGACCCAGCCTCGTTTCATCTTCAAAGTTCTCACTGATGGAAGGAGGTTTTGGCTCAAAATCTCACGATACATGGCCCCATTCATTCTGTCCTTAACACGGATCAGTCGTCCTGTCCCCTTGGCAGAAAAACAGCCCCATAGCATGATGTTTCCACCCCCATGCTTCACAGTAGGTATGGTGTTCTTGGGATGCAACTCAGTATTCTTCTTCCTCCAAACACGACGAGTTGAGTTTATACCAAAAAGTTCTACTTTGGTTTCATCTGACCACATGACATTCTCCCAATCCTCTGCTGTATCATCCATGTGCTCTCTGGCAAACTTCAGACGGGCCTGGACATGCACTGGCTTCAGCAGCGGAACACGTCTGGCACTGCGGGATTTGATTCCCTGCCGTTGTAGTGTGTTACTGATGGTGACCTTTGTTACTTTGGTCCCAGCTCTCTGCAGGTCATTCACCAGGTCCCCCCGTGTGGTTCTGGGATCTTTGCTCACCGTTCTCATGATCATTTTGACCCCACGGGATGAGATCTTGCGTGGAGCCCCAGATCGAGGGAGATTATCAGTGGTCTTGTATGTCTTCCATTTTCTGATGATTGCTCCCACAGTTGATTTTTTCACACCAAGCTGCTTGCCTATTGTAGATTCACTCTTCCCAGTCTGGTGCAGGTCTACAATACTTTTCCTGGTGTCCTTCGAAAGCTCTTTGGTCTTGGCCATGGCGGAGTTTGGAGTCTGACTGTTTGAGGCTGTGGACAGGTGTCTTTCATACAGATGATGAGTTCAAACAGGTGCCATTCATACAGGTAACGAGTGGGGGACAGAAAAGCTTCTTACAGAAGACGTTACAGGTCTGTGAGAGCCAGAGATTTTCCTTGTTTGAGGTGACCAAATACTTATTTTCCACCCTAATTTACGAATAAATTCTTTACAAATCCTACCATGTGAATTCATGGATTTTTTTTTCACATTCTGTCTCTCACAGTTGAAGTGTACCTCTGGTGCAAATTACTGACCTCTGTCATCATTTTAAGTGGGGGAACTTGCACAATCGGTGGCTGACTAAATACTTTTTTGCCCCACTGTAACTGTCTGTCAGCTGGTTGTATTCCAGTTACATTGGCATATAAAAGCAGGTTGCTGAGGACCCATTTCACTCCGCTGTTAAACTGCCTCATTGTTCCTGGAGGAATTATTTAAATTCTGTTCCCGATCTGTGCGGTTCTAGACATCTCTCTGAACTTGAAAGGAAGTTGTTAATATGAATATCTGTGTATGTACGTGCAATTTCTGCAGACTTTCCACAATTAACTGCTATATTATCACAAACAGACTCCATGTAATTTCCAGCTTGATCCTATTCGTTTGCAAAATGGAAACAGACTGATAGCAGTCCAAGCTGCCTTATTAACGTTTTAATGGTGTTTTATCATTGAAGCAATCCCTTTAAAGGTAACAACAAAATAATGGCTGTGCTATAATTTCCAACCACAGGACTTCAAACAAAATTTTGGGGACTGGTGATGGGTGAATACATTTTGGTGCAATATATTTGATGAGACAGTCTCGAAAGCGTCCCCCAGACCGACGGTGCCATCACCATTGATGGCGAGCCACTGATCAAAGTCACCCAATTCAAATATCTCGGGTCCCTCATCACCTCGGACTGCAAAACCCTACCAGACGCCAGAGCCTGTGTGAACGCAGCGTGGATGAAGTGGCGTCAGGTCACTGGAGTCCTGTGCGACAAGAGGATGCCAATCTACCTCAAGGCGAAAGTCTACAAGTCGATTGTGCTCCCAGTGGCATTCTACAGGTCAGCGTCCTAGCTAGTGACCACCAAGCATAAGCAAGTTCTTCACACAATGGAGATGAAGATGCTGAGGTAGCTGCTGGGTCTCACACGACACGACCTGGGTGGCAACAGGACACGGCAAAGCCCAAAACAGCACTGGATGAATCAAAAATGACATGAAGGCTGCAAACGTCACACTGGAAGATGCTCTTGAAGATGAAGTGGAGGAAGGAGTGCAAAACAGCGGGCCGTGCATCGAGCGGGACATGAACCGCTAGGAAGGAGACATTTGATGAGACCGTTTAAGCAAAATATTTTTGTAGTTGCACTTCATGTACACTCGTCTCACGGCTGACTTCTCAGAGTTTCCGTGACGACCTGGCTCCAGGTCATATGACACCTTCACTGTTGAGGTTTTTGTTCAGTATCCAGAAAGATGAATTTTAACACATCATAAAGTTGTAAAATTGGGAAATTGAGGCTGTAAACATGCTTTTCAATGCATATAAAGTTAAGCATTTTGACATGGGAGGCAATCAGGACTGACTCATGTTTGAAACCAGAGGTCATTAGAAGAAGGGTACTTT